CAAAGACCATGGAGATGGCGCAGGACTGGGCAATGTTTTTTTCTCCATGAGTTGGAGCCGTCTTCACAGTAACTAACAACAGCATGCTTATACTTTTTGCAAAATACAATGGAAATGAGGAGTTGAGAGACTAGTCTCAACTCTCACAATTATAGGAAGGAAGATGAGCAAGAGCCATAGGATAAATGAGTTCTTCTAAGATGCATGGATAGATAGCTGGAAGATAATACATGCTAGAGATCTTCAGGAGACTTATTAACTGACTGGCATGGGAAGAGCTTCCCAATTCATTGGCTTGGATCACTTTTTTGTAACTAAATAGGGGATAAAGAAAGTAGTAGCAGATTTTGGGGTTAGGAGGTGAAAAGGCTCTGAATGGAGATGGGCCATTTGGGAGTATATTGAGTTGAAGGCACCTGAGGGTTATCAGATATTGGCGTAGGCAGATGTAAATCTGGAGCTGAAAAGAAGGGCTGGACGTAAGGTTTTAAACATCTTCAGTATATAGTGTGTTTTGACTTTCTTTTTTGTTAAAGAAAGTTTTGGAAGAGACCAGACTGGTTAACTTCAAAGAAAGAGCCTGTTAGAGCAGAGATTGGCAGAATGCGTTAGCTATTAAGAAGTCATTGGTATACAGTAGAATCTGTCCTAGAAACAGTTATAATAACCTTGTATTACAAGAAGAATTAGAAGAACTGGGTTTGAGAGAAGTCAGTCATATCAGCTTGATCAGGAATGTGATTCACAAGCCCTACCAAATCTTAGTAGTTTCATTTCTGTATCTTATTTCCAGAGACCAAATCGCTGAAGTGTAGGTACCATTGCATCCTAAGACACCTTCCTATTCTCATCCATTTATCATAGTGTAGTAGTTTCAGGGATGAAATTTGTTATTTTTAAATCACATTTTCAAAGTGTGGAGATCGCTAACAGTGAGAAAATAATTTGCCTTTGATTTGAAAGAGTACCTGGCATGCCCTTCCTTCCCCCGCTTAAACTTGTCTGTAAACCGGTTGCTGTGGTAGTCGATTCTCACTCATGATGACTGCATGTGTGTCAGAGTAGAACTGTGTTCCATAGGGATTTCAATGGCTGATTTTTTTTGGAAATAGATAGGCAGGGTTTTCTTTCGAGGCACCTCTGGGTAGACTCAGACCTCCAACCTTTCAGTTAGCTGCCGAGCATATTACCTGTTTACAACACGCAGGGACTCTTATAAACCCCATTTTATAAGGGCTTTGTAAAAATAACTTAAGTTGTTTCCGTAGCCTGAAGTAACTCTTTTCTTGCTTCCCTCATCTGTATCTTTTTGGATTCTGTCATGTAATTGTCTTTTCTGTGGATTCCCAGAGCAGGTTAAGTTTTTTAAACTTCTATTAGAACATTAATTTCAATGAGCCTTCTATTTAATTCTGTAGATACTCTGTAGCTGAGTACCTGGCATAGAGTAAAAGCTCGTAAAAGCTGGTTGCCAACATTTTATTTCTAAAAGACTGTGTCTACCTTACTTAATATAGACAGCAGTATGGACTACACATACCTTGTTTACAGAGCCTGAAATAAAGCTTTCCAGGGACAAGCACATAATTTTAAAACCTCAAAATAGTGGCATTTAACCCTGACTGTACATTGGAATAATTTGTGGACAGTTTTAGCTGGTTTAAAAGCTGTTACTCTCAGCCCACTGAATCAGAATATCCAAGATTGGGTCCAGAATCCAAGCATTGCTCTAAGTTAATAATTTATAAATAAACCTATAATTTGTCAATTATAAGACGTTATTTCATTGCTTATCTTCAGGATTGGGAGTACAGAGAAGGATTCTACGATTGAAAAGATTTATGAAATAATCACAGTGTACAGCCAGAAAGAAAACCATTTAAAGGGAAATGCAGTCTTGAAACTTGAGTTTTATGTGTCAATTACACATAATATATAGATTACTGTTTTCTCTCCAAATAGAAATACATTCCATAGGCTATATAAAGCAAAAAACTCTGTGAAATTATTTTAAAATATTGAACAAGTGCAAGACTTCTAAAATGACTTTGGTGATAAAGATGCCAACAGAAATTATAATGAATCAGACCTGGCGTTCTATTGAAAGAAAATTCTATATAAAAAGACAATCACTGTAACATTAAAAAAAAAAGTCTTAGGTAAATCTTCTTGCTTGGAAATTAATTTTCTGTAGACTGCTTTCTGCCTTGGGGTTTGTATATACTCTTTGAACTGCAGAGGCCTCTCCTGCATAATAACTATTTTTCACACAGCAGTAGCCGTTTCAGTACTGTAATATTTCTGTGTGAGGTGTAGATAGATGTTCCCTAGCTGCTTCTCTTGGTTGCAAGGATGGGAGCTGGGTATTTTACTGTGAGTTTTTCAGGTTTGGGGCCTGGTTATTATAATTGAGAGTCATTTCTGCTGATTTATGTGTTAATAGGTACATCTATTTTGCATGTGATGTAGATACTGGATGGAAATGAAGATATGAGGCCATATCATCCCCACCCCATCCCCTTATCTCCTTTTAGTGTGCTGAAAGATGTTATATCAGTGTTTTTCTTTATGTAGGGTTGTTTTTGTGTGGCTGTTCTCAGTTTCTTATACATACTTAGTTATTATTTTATAAGTTCTTTCATTCTCATATGCATGTTTTTGAATGTGTACACTTTTGCTGAGTAACTTTTTTATATCTTTGCTGTTTGGAAATATTTCACAGTTCATGGTGTTATGGGTTTGAAATGGTGAATCATTAACTTCATTGCTGCTTTTAAGATTCTTTAATAATTATATAAAACTTGGTGGAAAACTGCTCCTGCCAAGTTTCATTACAGAATCTTGAGTACTGGTAGATTAAATGTAGGCTGGGCGATTTGGATTATACATTTCTCTGCTTCTCCTCATGAGGATTCACTATAATAGTAAAACTAAAATGCTGCCATCTTGAAGGCTGTTTCTTTTCAGACCAGTTTGTGTCCTTTGATAGCTCAGTTAGGAAAGGTCTGTTTTCTCATTTCTAAACATTAATATATACTTGCAGTGTAGATTAGATTTAGAATTGTGATACAATCTGAAGTGTGTGGCTCCTGTGCTGCTCTTTTTGTCTAGAGGAAAGTAATTAATTATAAAGCATACTTTGCTTTTGTAGTACTCATATTTTAAAATAGTCTGTTTTCTATTAACATAGTAGCACACTGAAAGGATGTTTGAGGGCATACAGTCTGCTTAGTATAGGGCAAAGGAAATTAAAAACAGTTCTTGAAGTGTTCACATGTCGGATTTTTTTATTCAGTCAACCATGATAAATAATTTTTCACTTTTGTTTTGTTGACCATGTATTCCTAGTGTCTGCATTGTCCTTAGGGCATTATAGGCTCTTGATAAATATTTGTTGAATGGGTTAGATATTTAATATTTAAGGGCCATATCATTTTGTTAGTTAGTTTACCCATTCTGTAGGGTCACTATGAGTTGGAATCAACTCAACGGCAATGGGTTTGGTTTTTTTTTACCCATTCAGAAGATATTACAAGTCTTAAGTTTTAAGAATACCACAAATATAGGCTAGTCTAATTATGCATGTACGTAACAGAAATTTCTGCATGAATATACTGGCTACTGTGTTCAGATCAAATGATGGTCTTTCTAATCTTTCTTTAGTTATAACATTGGGTAGCCAACATTAGTTTATTCTTGTTGAGGGTTCTAGTTGACCAAGTGCAGTTTTATTGATTCTATTGATTTTATTGATTCTGTAAAGATTACAGCCTTAGAAACCCTGTGGGGCAGTTCTACTCTGTCCTATAGGGTTGCTGTGAGTCGGAATCGACTTGATGGCAATATATATTTTTTTATGTTGAAATATAATACTGAAAACTTTCTGAAGATTATTTCTCTTGAAAAAGTATTTTTTGGACTTAGATCTAAAAGTTGTCATTATGAAGGTCAAGTATTAGTTTGTCTAGAAGTTATAAATAACACAACTCTTTAGATATTTGCGTTGTGGATAGGAATGAGCTTATTGTGGTTGATTTTTGTTTGTTTTAACTTTGGCTTTTGATTATTTTTAATGCTGAAAATTTGTGGAGGCTCCAAAAATTATATATACAATTGTGAGAATATTAAAAGAGTTCAAAGAGATTTACTTACCTTCTTTTAACTTTAAGATTGTTGTTTGTCTTGTATTGATTAGTTTATGTACCAAGTTTAATGTTGATATACTAGATGTCACATGTCACTCAGTGTTCTTGATGGTATTTTGAGTTCTTAAAAATTAGTGTTACATGTTGATGTTAACATTTATTTTCTGGATAGGGTTATATGATATCGTTGTAAGTGAATGCGGCAGTATGTATTAGTGACAATATTGCATGAGGAATTCTATAAATTCTACATATATAATTTCATAGACGTTCTAAAAGGACAATTGTATTTCATAGATGAACTTGAACACAGGCCTATTCGATGTATATTCTGTAGTATTTCAGTTTTAAAAGACAATGATTATTAAAGAACTAATAAAGGCAGATAGGTTTTTACCCTTTATGACAATTCTTATAGTAATTTTTTGGTTTCTAAAATTCAGGTCTCATTTTGAGATAAGCAGTGGTGTTTTAACATTAATACCATTGGACTTCTCTTTACAATTTTCTAAATAATGAATTGAAATGTGTTTTATTTAAAGCTATTCTGTAACTTAATATTTTTTTACTGAAGACCCAAAATTTTCAAGTTTTTTTATCTAAATAAAAATATATGTAGGATTACTTGATAAAGTTAATTCTTCCCCAAATTCTCCATTCTCAACTTTCTCACGAAAATAACCTAACAACATGTCGGTTGAAAGAAAGTAATTCTTTTTGGTTGGCCACTACATTTTAATTGCATACCATAGCTTCATTATTATATATTAAATCTTAAACATCTGAAAAATATTTTAAGATGCATTGATGTGACTCTAAATTTAGTCCTTTAATTTTCTCACTCTCCTCTTGCAGCATTTTCAGTTAGCTTTGGTTGACTGTAATCCCTGCACTTTGTCCAATGCTGAAAGTAAGTATTATTAAGTACCATAGTTTTCTGCATATATTCAGATCACTTCATGACAAATGATGATGATGTTGTTAGCGATAAATCCTGTGGAATTTTTTCTTCTAGAATTGTTGAATCGAACTTTATATTGGTTGCCATGGCTGCTTGCGCAAATGGAACATGTGAGACTGGCCTGTGTCTAAAATAGATACGCCAGTAAAGTGGATTGTTTAATTAAAATTATCTGCACTAATGAACAGAATTGACTGTTTGTGGCTTAATAATATTGTACACGATTTGAGGGGCTTAAAAACAGGGTTGGCCATTCTTTTAGGAAAAGTAAGTATACAAAGATTATGTGGTAGTTCAGATTCCTGCTGTGTGGTATTAAAATTGTTTGTAGTTATGAAGACATACTCTAGCTTTTTATTATAGTTTTACACATCATAAGCAAAGTTTGGAGCCCTTGTGACACAGTGGTTAAGAGCTCGGCTGCTAATCAAAAAGGTCAGCAGTTCGAATCTACCAGCCAATCCTTGGAAACCCTATGGGGCAGTTCTCCTCTGCCCTATAGGGTCACAATGAGTTGCAGTCGACTCGACGGCAGCAGATTTGGTTTTTGGGTAAGCAAAGTTTGAGGTCACATTTTTCAATTGATTTAAAAAGAATGTCTTTGTGAAGCATGTTTTGATACAGTGGTTTTCTTCAAGCAGTTATTTTCTGCTGCTTATGTAGGTTTCTTTCCAGAAGCAGATTGGGTTGATTATAATGTGTTTATCAATAAATATGTGGTGTTACCACTTTCTTACTTGGAAAAGAAAAAGTTTTAATTAGAATGTACGATAAATCGAGTGGTTCTTAATGAAAATGTCAGGTAATTTAAAGAATTTAGGGTTTTAGAAAGTCAGTGTTTTGATATAAATCACATTTTCTTAACAGTACAGAAAGGTGCTAAGTAAAAATTAGTCTCGGTGTTTAGAAATAATACCTGCCTAAGAAAATGATTGAATCAGAGAAAAAGCTGTAGAATTTTGGATATAAATTGATGAGTAAGTAACATGGATTAAGACATAATGTGGATTAAATCATCATCTAAACCAGACCAATTATGTGTGTGTGTATCACATCAAATGAAGCTGCTAGAAATTTAGTACTATTCAGTGTGTCTGCAGAGTAAATGGTGGGAAGGTAACAAATGGCAGCAGTATTTTACAGTTTCTAAGATGAGGTTAGATTTGAAAGAGAATTTAACTAGTTGATTTACTAATTTATAAAGTATTTATACTTCTTTCATAATTATATATATCCAAATTAATATAAACCATCTAGAATATAGATCCTTAAGATTAATTTATTGGGAATAAGGAAACAGCTGATTTTCATTTAATTCATTCAATACCATCTAATACCTTAACTCCGACTTTGATAACTGTTTGTCATTTGAATGATAACTTCTAGGGGATGTTTTATAAATGTCAGACAAAATATTTTGGTAAATCCTTACTTTATTCTACTCTAGCGAGGTTAAATCTCAGTTGTGGATCATCATTGTTGAGAGGAAAACGGCTGCATATGTAGAATGAGTGCTACAAAGCAGAAAACTTCCATGTCGAATTTGAAGAAGACAATTTGAACTATCATGCATACATTTTGAAATCTACTATGCCACTCTTTCTCTTAGTTATTGAAAAGGGAAATAGGAGATAGGTTGACCAGCGTCCTGCATTGCCCAGGACTGAAGAATTGCCCAGGACACGGGACTTTCACTGCTAAAAGATTGGTCATTCTTGATGAGAGGGCGCGTGCTTTATTTATTTAGACTCTTTAGACTTTAGGCCACTATAGTTCAGTTGATTTGAGTCATTGATTTTAGACTATCTACATGATTACTTGATAACCACGATAATGGCTCTTGTCTCACAGAGCACTAACAAATACAGAATACCTACTTTGATCCAGATGTTATTGTTCAAAACACTAGGCTCTTTATTGTCTTTGTAAAATTTGTTTCTCCTTGGATTTTTTAAAAAAATATCATCACTGATTTGCATATGCTGCAGACCTTGACTGTTCTTTGCAATCTTCCCATGTTACTTTGTTATACTACAAAGATCAGAAGTGTAGGTTACAGAAAATAAAGTGAAATTTTTTTTGTTAAAGTCTATATGAGTTATTTCAATTATATGGCACAATTCAAATACGTAATTAAAAACAATGAGTAAATAAATACATTTACTGCTTCCGGAGCTATTTAAGAAGGATTAATTACAGTTATTGTTTTGAAGACTCATGGTGATATGAGACTTTTCATTATATGATTCCTCTTGGGATGAAATTGTTTCTTTTAATATTAATTCTAAAAATAACATTAATTTCTGAATAAAGTTTAATTTCAGAACCTTTTATGGCAATATTTGTTAAAATTTTCACCTCTAATTGAGACTTGCCAGGTTGAGCTTTTTCATACTTTTAAGATTATGCTCTTATTTGAAGAAGATTTTTAAGAATTGAAAGTCTGGTAGTTTTCACATTATAAAAGATGGCACTGGATTTAGTAACTCATGGACTACTGAGATCCTTGATATAGGGCCTAGACCTAAGCCTGGAGGAAGTTTGGGATGGTGGTAGAATGTCAGCTGCTGATCTTTTTTTCCTTATTACCTTTATTAGATTGGGGGAAATGGGCATAGATTTTCCATCTTTTCCCTATTCTTTCAACGTAGAACCCAGTCTTGCTCCAACAATGTAATGAGGTGAGATTTGGACTGAAACTCTCAGGGAGAGCTATGTTGGGAAGGGGAGGAGTGGGAGAGAAGAAAAACCTTCAATCAACGTAGATATAAAGGAGATATTTATATATAGGATTTTTATTATTTTTGTATGCTTGGATTTTCATCTTCTAAAGATGATATTTTTATTCTGCCTCCATCTGATTTGCCAACTTGTGATATTTAACTACTTATGGAGAGATGCAGTAGTTTTGATCTGAAAAAGTTGTTTGATTTTAAAGTTCATTATATATTTTGTTTGTTTTTTCAATTTACTTCTGTGTCAAGGAATTTGTGGTATTCAGTTTAGCTGTTCCCAGTGCTAGTCTAGGTAACTGACATGAGAATCCTTCACAGAACTGAATAAAATTAACAACTTTCCAGGCCTTGCCCCAGGCTCACTGAATCATAATCTCTAAGATCTGAGCTCTGGAGTCTGTTCTTAACAAGCCTCCCAAGTGAATCTTAAAGTTAGGGTAATCAGTGAATTAGTTCATGTGCACACCCCAGTGAGAATCGCTGTGGACCTTCTCCTAAAAAATATACAGAAACGTTTTGCATATTATTTTGGAAGTCTCATACACCTTGAAATCCAACTATGAATCCCAGGTGGATAGAATATTAGAAGAGACTTGTCATTGAGACATGAAAATCATAATATTTAAATACCTAGAATCCAGTTTGATTCCTGATTCATTGTTGCTTTTGTTGAATCATTCATAACTCTGATGATACAGTGTTAGGAAGAGTTGGAAATAAAAGCTGAAATATAGTATAATAAGTCATTTCCTCTGTGTGTTATTACCTGGACTACAGCTTCTTTATAAATATTGTTTATGTGAAATAATGGTATAAAAAATTGAGACATTTTCGTTTTAATGTCTCTTATTAAGTACTGATTTTATTATATTTTTTAATTTGGAACTGTTAAATACAGTGTGTTGAGATATATTCATTTTAAAGGTTTTCTCTATTTGCTTTGTGTTGTCACTTTGAATTTTGTAAGAAGTATACTTATTTGCTATAGATTTTAATGTTAATTTTAATAATTAAACATTGATAGAAATTTTATTTGATAATGAACTAAATGAATAAATGTGTGGTTTTTTTAAATCATGGTCATGTTCTTTAATAAGTTTATTTGTATATTCTATTTTATTAAAAATAAAGGTATATTTCTCTGTTACTTAAATATGTATAGTATGGGCTGTGCTTACATACAGTACATTTTATATTATTCTTACTTAATTTACCCCAAACTGTTACATTGTGATTGATTTTTATTTTCCATCATCCTTTGCAGTTCAATTTCACATTGCCCACTTATATGAAACCCAGGTAAGTGTTTTAATGTACCCTATTTAAAACAAAAACAAAAATTATTATTCATATCATGCTTTAAGTGAAATCAAATATGTATGTATAATTTAATGGAGTTCTGGATATTATCTCTTACATGTACTTTATGTTTTATGCTCATTAAATATGGTTAAGGTTTTGCTTAGTGAAACAGTTATTACAAGAGAAATCAAAGGATTTGAGATTCATATTCAACATATGTATAGTAATGTTTTAAAATCTGCATGTTTGTCTTTGTGCTTTACTTTAGATCCCCAGAGTACTTGCTTTGCACAAAGTCATTTAATATGATTTGCCTCGAAACTTGAGCCATCTGCAAGCTAAAATGACTATATTTAAGATTTCTCTTATCCTTGATGTGAAATGCCTAGTTTTTTTTTCCAGATGTTTATAGATGATTGTTATAATGAATTATTTTTAAATAGCTTCTTTTCTAAGATTGAAATATCCCTTCTGCATGTCACCTTATGAAAGGCATATTAGAGTCACCTTTTGATGCCATTACCACTACTTTCATGGCTGCTATAGTTTAAAAACCTTTTCAGTTTAATTTTAGAACGTTTTGTTTCTGTGTCTGGCAGATTTTGCTTGGTTGTGTAATAAAAGGTATAGATCATAGAAATTCACTTTCAGCAGCAGTACTGGAAAATCAAGTAGAAATTGGTATGAGACTAAAAAATAGGTAATCCTAGTTTACCCAGTAATGAATAGTTGAACGTTAAGGTTTGCATTTTGATTTTTAAGACACGAAATGAATTTAATAACGGCTTTTCAGGAAAAAAAAAAAACTTATATGTGTACATAATTTTTAAAGTCTATTTCAGTGTTTTGGACCAAGTATAATAATAGGGCAAGCAGATGCCGCCATGCGTGCTCATGCCCAAGAGATACAAGATCCTAGTACATACCATTATTTATACTGGGATGCAGTCAGATAGTTTGAGATCATTTATGCTGGTGATTCCCAAACCCAGTTATGTAGCAAAATCAACTGGGAAGCTTTACAAATCAGCCATCATGGGGAGCTTTAAAATATTAGCATTAAATTCCTAGACACCCACCCACCCACATACACACATCCCATATATCCACTGAATCAGAACCGATGCTTCATCAGGTTTGGATACTTTACTAATCGAGGGATTTTATCTATGTTGAGAAGATGCATTTGAGAATTACATGCGTATCTTGTTTCAGAGTCTTTACCTGTCAATATTAATCCTAGCCTCCTGCTCACACCAAAAATCAATTTAGGCCCCAGGGTGAAAGCAGCTACAGAAATTATCTTCTTCTCCAAAGTTACTTTCTCCCTGAAGTCTTAGCTCCTCCTGTTCTCATTGCCTCAGGAGCTTTCTGATGCCTTCAAAAGGATGACTGCTAGATTTTTTCCAGCTTTTCTAGTTCTTGGTGAGAACACTGGTCTGTCTCCAGCTGAAGCAGAAATTTTCTCACCTTTATTTGTAATGAGTGTTTTTGCTGGATATGGAAATCTATTTGATAACTTTTTTTTTTTTTAAATCACTTTTAAATTTCAATTTTATTGTCTTCTGGTTTTCATTGTTTCTGATGAGAAGTTGCCTATTGATTGTATTATTTAATTATGTGAACGTAATTAGGGATCAGGAGCCCTCCTCCCATCAGTTCTTTCATTTGAGAAATTTTAATACCTGTTTAGATAAAACAAAATGAACAAAACTCTGGCAAGCAGAATATATGATTATTAAGTGACAGGAAAGTCACCTGTAAGGATATGACAAGATTGCAAATCTACTCCAATACTTATAACAAGAATTTTCATTTTCAGGTGAAAAATTAAGAAAAGCAAAAAGGCCTGCTTACCTACCTATAGAAAGTTACTTTTTATATTTCAACTGATTTATACCAGAAGAGACCTTATTTATGAATAAGGATTTAAAAATTTACATTTAAATAGTTATATGTAGTTAGTGACTACTGCTAGATAACCAAATAGTGCAAGGGAAGTTTCTCGGTATAGGAAGAAATATTTCCGCTAATATATGAAGAAAGTATTTAATATCATTTCATAATCCCTGATAAAATAACAGATCTAGGTAATGATCATCAGTGACTGCTTACATCACAGAAGAGAGACAATCAGACATTATTAACTCCTAATGGAAAGACACAACACCACTTATGAAGTGTTCTTGCCAAAAAATCAACCTGAAAAATCAGATCAAACTTCTTTTTCTAAGTATCTGTTAAAGTAGAGGGGACAAAGCAGTATACTACACAACTGCATATGGATACAGTAAACAAAATCTGGATTGAGGGTACTCTATAGGACAAACAACCCATTTATTCAATAAGTAAATTTTAATAGAGGAAAAAAGTGGATAGTGGTGTAGAGAATTCTATAGATGATAAGAGAATTACAAATCATAACAAGCAAATTTAATTTTTGGACCTTTTTTGGAGCCTGAGTCAAACCATCTATAAAAGTCCACGTAAGAGACAATTGGGATATTTTAGCACTGACTGGATGTTTAATATCAAGTAATTATTGCCACATTTTTTTGGGTGTAATAATGATAATGTGATTATGTTTTTAAAAGTGCTGTTTTTTTTTTCTTTATTGTACTTTAGGTGAAGGTTTACAGAACAAATAGTTTCTCATTAAACAGTACACATTTTGTTTTATGACGTTGGTTAACAACCCCACGACATGTCAACCCTCTCCCTTCTTGACCTTTTTTTTTTTTTTTTAATTGTACTTTAGATGAAGGTTTACAGAACAAAT